ATTGTGCACTGCAAAAGGTACAACATCACTTCTATAGCATTCTTCCCAAAAGGCATAACCTCATCTAGTCATGAGAAATCAGGACAAACCACACTGAGGGACATCCTACAAAATAACTGACCAGTCTTCTTCAAAAATCCCAAGGTCGGGCCAGGGATTTAACTCAATGGTTCTGCCACCTGCCTCGCAAGTGCAAGGACCTGAGTTCGATCCCTGATACCAAAAAAAAAAAAAAAAAGAAATCCCAAGGTCATTAAAGACAAAAAGTGACTGAAGAAGGAGATGGGACAAACAAATGGAATGTAGGGTCCTGATGTATCTTAGAACAGAAGAACACTAGTGGACAAACTGGAGAAATCAGAGTCTGTCATTTAGTTAATTGCACTGTATTGATATTAATTTCCTAGTTGTGACAATTGTACTGAGGCAGGAAAATGTGGTCTGACCCTTTCCTTTCCCCTCTGACAGCCCCCAGGGCCCTGATCTCACTGACAGCCCTCATGTGCTGAGAATGACTGAGCGGACCAGTTCATGTCCCTCTGGGCTGCTGTCAGCTTCTACAGCCCTGACGAGAGCTGCACTTGGCTGACAGCTGTGAGGCCCCTTCCTCACTCTGGGCCACTGCTGCTGCCTCTCTGAGGAGCAACTGGAAGACCATGCCCAACAGGGCAAAAATCAAGATGAACTGGAACCCACCAAGGCCTCCCCCAAATCCCCAAAGCTCAGTGTGCCATGATCAACACTGCCACTGCTCCTAGGGACTCAGAAGTGGTCCAGTCAGGGCCAGGGATTTAGCTCAGTGTTTTCACCGCCTGCTGCGCAAGCTCAAGGACCTGAGTTCCATCCCCAGTACCAAAAAAAAAAAAGTGGTGCAGTCATAGATATCAGGAAGTAGGAAGAACTGGTTCAAATGGGAAGGGGATAAGGGAGGGGAAGAGAGGGAAGGGAAGGGAAGGAAGGAAATAGATTGTTAAAAAGAGAAAATTGAAGGAAAATGTGGAAATAGCTTTTGTAAATGGGGAAGGGAAGAAGGGTTGAAAGCAGGGAAGGAAAATGCGAAAGAAAAAGAATTAAGATAGATTATGTATAGGTACAAATCCCCCATGATGAATGTGATCATTATGTATGACAAATGTGTATTAATAAAAAATAACTTTTTTAAAAAGCAGTGCAGTCATAACTTCAACCCTGCCATAAAGGTGGGAGCTGCAAATCAAGGGGCTGTTTCACTGCAGCTCTGCGGAGCTGTCACCACGACAGCCTCAGCTGTGCTCGATGCCCAGGGCTGACCCAGGACATATTTGCCTTAACTGCAGTAGGGATGGGACTGCCCCAAGTGATGTTCTGCAGCCACTCCCGTGGCCTCTTCACCACTTCAAAAGTCCCTCAAACAGGTGCGCAAAATGCAGAGACCATGTGTGCTGGGGCCAACTCCTCCTCTACATGAAGAATGCTCCCTCCCAGCCTGGGAAGTGCTGCACTATAGTCTCGAGTAAAAGCCTTGCTCGGTAGTCCTGTTGGCTACTCGGGATTTTTATCTGAGTTAGAGAGAGCTGGGTGGGTTGCACTGAAACAGCTGGTGACACTAAGGGCTGTCAGCCCTGAAGCCTTCCAGAGAGCGGTGGGGACCTGAGAGGACTGTGGACACCTATGAAAGAGCCGTCCAAGAGACAGTGGGAGTGGCTAGAAACGCTCCCGAAAACTCCCAAGAAGGGAGTGAGCCCTACATGGTGAGGAGCTGAGAGCTAAGAGGGACAGCCAGGCGCTCCCAGGAGCTGTAACACTAAAAACTGAAGGTGCCAAACTCAAAACCCGGAGCTGAAGTGCTAAGGGCCCTCAAGCCCAAAGCCACCAGCATAAGACAGCCGCACTTTGCCAATTCACGATCGCTGTACAAATTGAGCAAAAAGCTCCGCAGCCAATTGATGACAGTACTGATTATATAAGATGTTAACATCCGTAAAAACTGGGGGGAAAGTACACAGGAACTCTGCTATTTCTGCAGCTCTTCTTTGAATATAAAATTATCTTGGTTTGAATGAAAAATTATATGATTACACTACCTATACTTTCATTGATTTTTTTTTTTCCTTTGGTGCTGGGGATACGAACTCGGGTCCTTGCGCTTGTGCAGCAGGCAACGAAACCACTGAGCTAAATCCCTGGCCCCTTTCATTGATTTCTTGTGCAACTTTCCAGTGCTTATTTAAATACAAAATTCATGTAGCCCTGATGTGAAACAGTCTGATTTTTCAACTTAAAATATATTTTGTTGAACTTTGCCTGTAAGTACAGATTTTCCTCATTTTCTTTTCCAATTTTTGCCATGAAAATAACTTTAGACATACAGAAAATTTATAAAAATGGCATAGTAACATGCATACCACCAACTAGATCTCTGTATTTTCTTTTATAAATGTATGATATTCCAATGTGTGGAGTTAATTCTTACATTTCTCTTCTTATTATTAGGTGCTGAAATTTTCATCTTGCCCCACTGCTGCCGTCAGAGTACAGTGGAGAACAGGAAGAAATGGAATCTAATTGTAATTCATAGGCTATAAAGCCAGATATACCCACAGCCAAAAAACCTTTCTATCTCTTGGCTGTATGGCCCTAGGCAATTTACTTAACTTCTTCAAATCTCAGTTACCTCATCAGAACAATAGGAATATAGTTGCTATAGCTTAAGGTCTCAGTCAGGATCACATGTGCAGAAATATATTTATGTGCGTGTGTATATATCATCTGTGTATATCATCAATACATCTATTGATCTAGATTCAGTAGTACAGTAGATAAACACTGTAGTTGTTATTATTCAGCCAGAAAATGTTGGAGCTATCAAGGAGCTGATCTGTTCGAACAAATTAAAAGAACGCACTGGCTTCTTTCTTTTGATGATGGTGTGTCACTCTATTGAGACTAAAAGAGTACTTTAATCTTAGGAAATGTAAAACAGAACTGCAACAACACTGCCACAATCTTGGATCTTGACCTTCCTCCTAAGTTTGGTCAATAGAACAAGACAGATATCTACCTGAGTATAACATTTAGTTAGGGGATCTAATATTCATTAAAATGTTAGAGACTTGGCTTGGAGTACAGCTCACTGGTACCATGCTTGCATTCTGGAGGCTCTGGGTTGATCTCAGGCAACACCATGGTGGGGATGGGGTTGAGAGACTCCCCAAATCCCTGTGCCTAGAGCCAACACTTCACCAAATGTCTGGAGAGCCTGTATAAGACAAGCGCAGTTAGTGAGTTTGTCTTTTTAAAAATCTGGGGTGGTAGGGGTCAAACCCAGGGTCTCATATGTGCCAGGCAAACTCTGGACTACCTAGCTACATCCCCAGCCCAGATTTGCTGTTCTTATTCTCCCATTGTATCAATGGGATATGAAAGATTTGCTTTTTTGTGTTTCCATCTTTGTACACAGAGTATATTTCCAACTCCAAGGGGAAGTGGTTGCATGTAACTTTGCTGCCATTTGTGTAACTGCAATGTCTAATCAATGGCCACTCTGAAAGAAAGCATATGTCTTTTTCTAGCCTACAAAAAGAATAGAGAATGAAGCATAGCCTCTCTCAGTGGAAGTGTTTGATTATCCACTCAAGAATTTTCCAAGCTCTTACTGTGTGCCAAGTATTGTACTTGGCGTTGAAAATAAAAATAACAAAATTCCTCAGATAATTTATTGCCTTCTTAAGGGGAGATAAAGATACACTGACAACTACAAAGCATTTTGTGAGAAAGAAGAATAGCTTCACAAAAGATGCCATTAAGTTTCTGTTGAGTTCACCAGACTAAGCCAAGAGGACAGGCGTGCTGAGAGAGTGAGAGCCTACAAGCACACTGACATGCTACGCTAGCAGGTTTGAGTTTGAGCTGCCTGGAGAACAGGTGCAGAGAAGGCTGATGGATTAGGCTGAAACTATTAGCAGTTTGGTCTTCATCGTGTTTATTGGAAAGCAGTTCAATGCAGCGAATTATCAGATGATTTTAAGTAAGGGCTGAGATAATTAGATTTACTTTTTTAAATGATCGCTCTAGCAGCTATACAAAGGATACGGTGCTCTATGAAAGGGAAGAAGGAAAACCAGTTAGGAGGCAATGAGAGTGGATGTGGTCCTTGTAGGGACAGCAGGCTTTCCATGAATGAAATGACATTATTTTATGAAGGAGGTCAACAGGTTTGAAAACTTAAAAACTTGTTTAGCAATTGAAAATCAAGAGGGAAAACAGCGGGGGCGGGGCGGGGGGGGGGAGGAAACCAATATGTCCAGGTAATTTAAAAAAGAAATGCAGACTTTGAATGAATTCACAGGTATCCAGAGACTGATTTCCTGGTGGATGAATTCATTTATTGAAGACTTCAGATTCTTTTCTGTAACTTTATAATTATTTTACTGAAGTTCTTATATGGTTTGCCAGATGGTGGTTAGGGAAGAAGAAATGAAAAAAAATACTAAATTTAATCAGTTTGGCTCCCTGACTGTTACTTAATATAGAGATCTGGGAAGGTGAAAACTTTCGTTACTTGGAGGCCTGGGGGTTACTTGTGGAGGGCATACACCTGTCCTTTATCTCTTAGATTCGCAGATAAATCAGAGGTCATTGCAAATCATACATACTGAAAATAATTGGCTCTTTGCATCTACTCTTTAAAATACATTTCCACTTCCACAGTGAGAGCTTTATTTGGTCCCTCCACCTGAATTATGCATGCGGTGCTCATTTCTCTCCATTGGATCAGCTGTTTGATGAATACCTCTTAACAGCTGTGGCTTCATGGCCACTCTCTGCAGCTCACGAGGCCCGGTGAGGAGAATGAGAATAGCCAGATCAATTAAGCCAGACACCTGCTAAGTAGACGAAGCCTCATCTCAGATCTGGCTGCGTTTACTAGAAGGTTGCAGTGATTGCTGTGCCCAGGAGCAGGCCGAGCAGAGCTTCAGCTGCCCTGGAAGAGTACGGTAACAAATATTCTGCTAGTCCAACGACCGAAACGCAAAGACGTGTTGCATTTTCACATTGAGCGGATATTACAGTATATGCAAATACACAGTCTTAAAGGAATACTCAGAAACGCCTGCAGTTTTATTATTTTAAACGATATCTTGTTTTTAGCTACTTATACTCAGAAACACCTATTAACCTGTCAACCAGCCAAAAAATAATTTATATGGAAGAAATAAAAAGCAAGAGAGCAGATTCTATATGATTTACTCTCCTGTGCATCACGTACGAGGACGAAGAGGTTGGTTTCTCAATTTGAGCTGGTTTTGCCATTTTATAAGCTCACTAGTGAGATCTGTTATTTTCTTATTGTTTAGAAGTTGCTCGATCCTTTAGTTCTCCTACAACTAGAAACATGTTCTAATCTTGGACTCTGGCCTGCTGCACGGGATTCTTTTGCCAAAGTTTTGCAGACGTGGGCGGATTCCTGAGGCGAGGTAACACGACGTGGCCCACGGGCAGTGAAAAACTACATATCCCGGCGTTCCCCGTTCCGAGCACAACGAGGCGTCGTCATTGCGCCTGCGCATTCCCTGTGCGCCGCCGGATTCCCCCCCCCGGGGGGCAGAGGGGCTGCTGGGCCCGGAAACTGCACTTCTCGGCACGCCTTGGCGCAGCCGTGCCCGCGCACGGGAGCGACTTCGCAGGGCGGCGGGTTGGTTTGAAGCGCGGTGTTAGTTTCGCGGAAGCCGGATTGTTTGCAGAGTGATGGATTGCGGGGTGAGGCTTCGGGGCCGAGGCGGGGGGGTCGGGGCCACCGTCCCCCATACCCTCTTCTCTCTCGGGCGGAGCCCGCCCAGGACCTCAGGACCCTCGCTTCCCGCGTGTCTGCAGTGGACCCCGGGAAACCGCAGAAACGCAGCGTGCATTGACTCTGCTCCAGCTGAGGGAGGCTGCCCCGGGGCCTGTAGATGCGCCTTGTTTCCTCCTTTCTGTATTTATTTCGACTTTAGAACGGAGGTTTCTGGGAGAGGTGTTTCGATGGGAATTTTTACCATCAGCTGTCCTCCCTCACCTGCTGACCAGAACATAGGTATTGGGAATTTTCGTTTGGTCCTTGCTATTTCACCTGGCACTTGTACTAGAAGAGAATAGACATTTGTTAATTTGTTGTACTATTCTCCTGCTTATTGTCACCCATAATTTTCCAGGCACAGTGCCAGGCTGGAAAAGTAGAAAAAAATGAGACTTCATATTATCACTCATCATTTACCTGATTTATCTCAGAGCGCCGACTGTCCCTTAATCTTTTGTTGACAGCTTCGTAGCTTTACATGTGCATATATTGACAATTTTAGAATTCATATCTCCAGTCCACACCTCACCTCTGAACCCCAGACCTACAACTCAGTCGTGTATTGGGCACTTTCCCCGTTTTAAATTTTAACATTTATAAAACAACTCCTGATTCCCCCGCCCCCAACGGACTCTTAATAGAGAACCACCATCCTTCCAGTTGCTTGGGCCAAAGACCTTGGAGTAAACTTGGCTGCTTCCTTTTTCTCACAACTCAACCAATTTATCAGCAAAACTTGTCTTTAAAGCCTCTAAACTGATCTTCCTGTTTGGGCTTTTGTCCTACCCCTGGAGGGAGGGGACACAGTGATTCTGATACAAGTTAAGTTAGATCACCACAGGCCTCAGCTCTGAAGAACCTGGTGGTTTTCAGTGTCTCAGAGAGTGAAAGCCAAACCCCTACAGTGGTGGTCAAGCTCCTCTGTGATCTGATTCCATTATTGCCCTCCAACCGCTTGCTATTCTCTCCTCTCATCTCTCTCCAATTGAAGTGCCTGTTTGTGGACCCATCAGGTGTTCTAAGTTAGGCCTTTGCGCTTAACGGTTCACTCCTGTTCTCAGATATCCACAGAAGTTTCCACCTGATTTTGGCAGGACTTTACTCAGTTATCGTCACAGTGAGGTGCTTGTTTTGACCACTCTGTTTAAGATTAGTCAGCTGGGCATAGTGGTGCATGCCTGTAATCCCAGCACTCTGGGAACCTGAGGCAGGAGGATGGTGCATTCAAGCCTGACCAAGGTGACTTAGCAAGATCCTGCTCAAATATTAAAGATGGTGGGAGTGGAAATGTAGCTCAGTGTGAAGGCCCTGGATTCAATTCCCAATACCAAAAAAAGAAAAAAATCTTCATTGGAGCCTCTAAAGCTGTTATTCTCCATTGTACTTACTACTAATGAACAAACTGTATTTTATTTAATGTTTGTCCTGTTTAATATAAGCTCCACTATTGCAGAGACTTTTTCCTGTTTTGTTTACTGTTGTACTGCTCCACTCCCCAGTGTCAGTATCTTCTGGCAAACATTCAGGAAATATTTGTTAGGTGTATGAGTGGATAAAGATGGTGTTATTAACCAGACTATTTTCCGGCGGTTGTGGTAAACACTGAGTGCCTGCCCTGTTACTTGGAACCAACAGCGTATGGTTGTAGCTATTGCTGGGTGTACCTGGAGGGGAGCCCGTGTGCACCGAACACCGTAGCAAGTACTGTGTTCCCTTTTTGAAGTCATCTCGTTTTTACTGTACATTTCTTACTACATTGGTCTTTGTTTATGCTGTGCTTCCTATGACATAAAAAGCTAGAAGCTCTTTGGAAATACTCGCCAAACAGTGAATAAGAAAAATATTTTATCTGCATTTGTTTAATAATGATATCCTTATCATAATGAGTTGTGAATGAATTTTTTAGAAATAAACGTTTATATCTCAGTGTTATTGTTACCACCAAGCATTCAGGTTTAGGTATCAGGCAGCATTCAGTATTTTTTCCTTTTCAAAAATAGCAAAGCAGAGATACATTAAGGCTATTGTCTCTTTGGTGGAAACAGTAATTAAAGGTAGATTCTTTTCTTATGAGACTTGGGACTGTGAGCTATAGAGTTCTGGCTTAGAGAGGATCTTCCAAGCGGCCAGTGGTTTGTGTGTTGAGCGTAGCATTTCTGCCACTCCTGTTTTAGGCTTACCAATGGGAGAGGACAGGCAGGGATATTAGTAACTGCAACAAAAATGAAATCTTTCTTTGACTTTAAACCTGAGCTCAACAGATACCGTCACTGGATCCCAGGGCCTTTTCTCACACTTACTTTTGCACAGAAGAGGACCAAGGAGAATCCCTGAAGGAGGACATGGGACCCTCACACTCCCCTCACCATCACTACACACACAGAGTAGGTTCATTGGCTTTTGTCACAGAAAGCATTTCAGGACGCCTGAGAGCCATAGGCAGATTTATTATGCAGAAGCAAAGAAAAATACAGAGGGTGTGTGCTTGAGGGTGAAGCACATCATGGTCTAGGGGTGGGGATATTTATGTGGTGTGGGAATATCCTCCAGGCGGATGACCTGGGATGTTTATTTCTTGAGTGATTTCTCATTTACTGAGTGTCTGTCTCCTTAAGGTCAGGTTGCTCAGTGGGCTAAAGATTAGCTTTATAACAAGATTAAATTGCAAATCATTTGCATGTGTTTGAAGTTTGGAGCTGTGATACCCAGTTAATAGTACAGTACTGTTACTCTGAGGGTGGAAGTCCTTGGAATGTATGGATTTATAGTACCAGATGAAAAACAGGCCCAATTTATGGACTTACTGTATGGTTAAGACTCTTAGGAATTTAGAAGTGAAAGAAAAACAACCACAGGAGTGAATAGAGCTTTGTAACCAGGAGTAACTGTCCTGAAGTTGCAGTTTTCTTTTTCTGTTTCTAAAAATTTTTATTTACTTTTTATTCTGCTGTACTAGGAATTGAACCCAGGGCTTCAAGCATGCTAGGCAAGCACTTTACCACTTTACCACTGAGCTACATCCCCAACCCTGTACTATTTTTTTATTTCAATGTAATAAAATTAGATATTACTAAGGAAAATATTATTTTTAAACAGTCTTCTATGAAAAAATAAAGCAAAATTTCGTAACAAATTAAAGAATAACATTGAATGCACTGTGTACCATAATCTTAAAAGAATGGCTGAAACATTAGAGTACAAATCATAGAAAAGACTTTTAACAAAAAAGCAAATAGGTAATAGCACAAAACATTTTTTTCAATGAACTAAGAGGACCTAGTGGTATAAGTGAAACAAATTAGCATGTATATTGAAATACTTTTGAAGCCACAAAATATATAATTTGGGGAATTATTAGAACTCCCTACTTCCTTTTTCTCTATCTTTTTTCCCCATGTTTTCTTTAACATTTAATAGAAACTATGTACAGTAAATTTTTACTGTATTTTGCGTAAGATAGCCACTGCAGAAATTTACATAGAAGGAAGACAGATGGTTAAGGAGGGCCCAGTCCTGTGGGACATTTTCTCAGGGCACGAAAGTCAGAGTTTAGTTGGGGGAAAAAGGTTCAGACTGGCTGCAGTTTTCTTAAAAGCATGATTTTAAAATGACAGTTTCTCTTTTCTACCTATCTTTATTCTACCTCACTCCGACAGCTCCCAGATACACAGAGACCCTCCATGGTGACTATTAATGCTGTCCTCTTGCTACCTGGCCATCTCTGCCCCCTCCCTTGCTTCCAAAGGCTCTCTCACCTTGACATTGTTGGGGTTTTGTTTCCCTGTAGTGGATGAACGTGGTGGTAGTACAGCATTGCTGGGAGAAAGGGTTTTCAGCTAACCCTGGGATGGGTTTTTAATAAATCTCCAGAGACTACATTGGCTTGTTTTGAGACTTCATGAACAAAACCCTGATCACACAAGAACTATTACAAAGAATCAACAACTGGGATCTTGTGAAAATGCTTTTGCACAGCTATAGAAATCAACAGAGTGAAGAGACAACCAATAGAGTGGGAAAACTTATGAAAAAAATGTTCAACATCTCTGGTCATTCGAGAGATGCAAATGAAAACAACGCTGAGATTCCATCTCACCACAGAAAGAATGGCTATCAGCAAGGAATCAACGAGTAACATGTTGGTGGGGTTGAGGAAAAAGGAGTCCTTCTCCACTGTTGGTGGGAGTAGACTGGTGCAACTATTCTGGAAATCAGTGTGGAGATTCCTCAAAAAACTAACACTAGAGGTTCCATTTGACCCAGCTCTCCCCTTTCTTGATATCTTCCCAAAAGAATCAATAGCATCATACCACAGTGATATATGTACACCCGTGTTTATAGCAACACAATTTGTTATAGCTAAATCTTGGAAACAACCCAAATGTCCATCAACGGACAAGTGGATAACGATATTTTTTTACCTAATGGAGTACTACTCAGCCATAAGGAATGATAAATGAGACATTGTTAGCTAAATGGATGTACCTTGAGACTATACTCTTTAAGTGAAATAAGTCAGACACATGTAAATATTGCATTCTCCCTCTGGTGTGAGAAACAAAGTATAAATAAGGGCCCAAGTGTATAATATTGTGAAATAGGAAGAAATTGTTCAAAAGGGGAGGGGAACTGGGGGAGGGGAGGGGGAAAGGAAGGAAGGGAAAATAAAAAAAGAGGATGAAATGGAAACTTTGTAAATGAGGGGAAGGGGTTGGAGGGGAAGGGGAAGGGAAAGGGAAAAAGAAATCAAGATATATGATGTACAGGTATAAATTCCCTATGATGAATATGATCATTATGTATATCTAAGTTGTACCAAAAATTAATTTTAAAAATCTATTAGTTGAAGAATTAAATCCATTTACACTCAAAGTTATTGACAAGGAGCCACTCCTGTCATACAACTAATTTTCCTCTTGTGTATCCATGCGCCTTTCTTGTTCATCTTCATGGTTTGTTAGTTTTCTATGTAGTTTTTTTTTTAATGTCTCTAATGAGTTTTATTCTTTATTACCTATTTGCTTGTAGTGCAGGACTTTTTTTTTTTTCCTGTACTGGGGATCAAACTCAGGACCTTGGGCTTGTGAGGCAGGCGTGGCGTCCCCGAGCTAAATCCCCGGTGTGCAGGATTTCTTATGCTATTTTGTAAGACTGGTCTGGTGGCGGTGAATTTTCTCAATTTCTGCTTGTGGGAAAGACTTTATTTCTCCTTCATTTCTGAAGAATAGATCTCTGGTGGGTATGCTATTCCTATTTGATAGGGGTTTTTTTTTTTTTCTTTCGGGACTTGGAATATATCATCTCATTCCAGCCTGTAAAGTTTCTGCTGAGAAATTTGCTGTTAGTCTAATGGGGATTTCCTTACATGTGACTTGATGTTTTTCTCTTGCTGGCTTTAGAATTCTCTTTGTCTTATATTCTTGATAGGCTGACTATAATATTCCTTAAAGAGGACCTTTTTTGCTGAATGTATTTGAGATCTTTTGAGTTTCCTGGACCTGGATATACAATCTTTCCCAGGATTTGGAAAGTTTTCAGCCATTGTTTTATTAGATTCTTTAATGCCTTTTCCTTTTCTCCTTCTGGCATTCACATATTGCAAGTGTTTGTTAAATGGCGTTGAGTCTCAAAATGAACCAACTTTCCTCTCTCCCTCTCCTTCCTCTCTTCCTCTCTCCCTCTCCTTCCTCTCTTCCTCTCTTTCTTTTTCTCCTGAGTTATCTCAAAAGACCGGTCTTCAAGCTCAGAAATTCTTTCGTTTGCTTGGCCGAGTCTGTTGTTGTCTGAATTTATTTTTTTCCCCACATTCCTACCTGATTTAATAAGAGATTTTATCTAGAAACAGTGATTGTGAACCTGCAGAAGCACAGTGCCCACACAGGGTGCAGACAAGTGGATTACAGGGCCCTACTTCCTGGGCGCTCCCTTCCGAGTGCAGGGCTGCAGGCCCCTTCCTACTCCCTGGCAGGGGTCTCTGCTGTCCCCACAGGGATGCCCCCGTCCTGGCTCTGCTTCTTCCCTATGTCTTGGGCGAATCCCTCTCCTGCATCTCAATTCATCTTCATTCCTTCTAGGAAACCTGACAAACTCAGAGTGACCACTGTGCTTTCTGTCATCATCTGAGTGGCATTCTGGTGTTTCAGGTCCTTGGATTCTTCTCTCCATGTCTTTCTGCTCTTTGTCATTGTCATCCTGGGACATCTCCCTCTGCACCCCTGTTGGGCTCTCTGAAGGCCTGGCTCTCACGAAGGTGCAGGGGGCACAGGTTTCTTGTTTTCCATCTCTAATGCTGACTTCCTCGCCTCTTTCTTTTTGTTTTTCTGTGTCTGGTTCCTCTTCCTTTTCTGGTTTCTTAAGAAGCTTTATTCTCACTTCTGTTTCAATAGTTGTCTTTTGTTTATCTGCCTCTTTCCTCCTGTATCTTTCTTCTCTTTTTCTTTTTTCTTCCTCCTGCAAGCATTTCTTTTCTAACTCCCTTCTCCTTCATTCTTCTCACTTCTCTTCTCAAATTCTCTGCTTTTCTAATTTTCTGTTTTTAATATATTCCAAAAGAGGTGTGGTTCTTCTAGCAACAAGTTCTCTTGTCTTTGCCTCTATCTGTCCCAGAAGAGTTTCAGGGTTGGCACTGGTTCTCTTCTTCCATGCTGTAAGTTTCTAAAAACTGTTTATACTCTGGATCGTCTTTGATGCTCCCCGTCTTGGTGTCTCTCTTCTTCAGCTTCCTCCTGACTATCTTCTGGAATGGGGCAAACTCTGCCACAGCAGGATACTCCAGGCCTTTACTGCTCATGAAGACATATCCATCAAAACGATCTCTGAACAGAAGGATGTCATCAGGATTCCTAAAATTAATGTATGCTCTTGAGTAGAGATGAGGATAAAGGCTGTGGTCCACGCTGGCCACCTTGAAGTAGTCGTGAGCAGGCAGCAGACTCAGCTGCTCCTCCAGCTGCTCCTTCTTGAGGCGGGGGGGGGGGCACCGTAGGACCACCTGGGGCAAAACCGGCTAGTCACCCAGCCCACCTTCTGAACTTATTTTTTAGGTCACTTACTGAATTCTTCAGCTCCAAGATTTCTGTTTAGTTCTTTTCAGTGATCTCCATCTCTTTGTTAAATTTCACATTCATATTATGAATTTTTTTCTAATTTTATTGAATTCCTGTGTATCATTGAATTTCTTTAAAATCATTATTTGAACTATTTTTCAGGCAATCTGTCAAGTTCTCTTTCTTTGGGACCTGTTACTACAGAGTTGCTGTGCTCCTTTGGTCTTGTTACCTTGCTTTTCTATGCTCTGTGTCCCTCTGTCAGTGTTTGCACATCTGGTGGATCAGCTGTCCCCATCAGTGTTACAGGGTGGCTTTTGCAGTAAGAGACTTTCTCCTGGAGATGTGTCCTCAGATAACAGTTGGGCACACTGCCTTGACTTTTGCTCCAGATAGACACAGTAGTGTCTCGTCCACTTAGCTTTTCAGCTCTGGGTAGTGTGGGCACTGCCTGCGGGTGTCTCAGTGGCCTGTGCTGCTGGGTGTGTGGGATTGCCTTGCCAGCTAGGGTGCAGCCCTCTTAGGCAGGCCGGGTTTGTTAGTGGCTCAGGGCACTTATGGTGCATCTGGTTATGGGTGTGGGGCCCCTGTCAGTTTCCAAGGGCTTTGCAGGGGTGGGGCTGCTCTGGAAGGCCCAGGCAGGTGCAGTCTGTCAGCGTCTGAGGATGATGTGGGGCCAGGCTGCCCTGGTGGCCAGAGCAGGCTCTTCTCAACATCTGAGGGTTATGCAGATCCCTCTGGAGGGCCTTGGGTGGACTGCCCCGCTGCTTCCTGGGACAAGGGTGGTTGAGCAAGGTTGCCTGGCTGCTTCTTGTGGCTGTGGGAAGGTGAGAGTTTGGGAGGCTCTGCCTGGCAGCTGTCCAGGGCCCGGGCAGTGGAGGCACTTGCAGAAGGCCACCAATTGCTCCCAGAGCTGTGAGACAGTAAGCAGTTGGGGCCATCGAGCCAGTGTGTATGGCCAGGTTAGCTGAGATGCTGGGTCAGCTGCCTATCTGTTTCACAGGACCCAGTGGGCAGAGTCACAGGCAGGTGCCGTGCAGACAACCGTTGGGAGGACTGGACTGGGGAGGGTGTAACCCAGGCTGGCCTCTGGGGCAGTGTGGCAATGAGGATTCTTATAGCTTCCCTCTGGGGTAAGGACTGGGAGGCTGCAGGCTTCTCCCGAAGCAAATACTCAGGTGTCTGTGGCACTCAAGGGAGCTCCAGAGGCCTCCTACTAACCTCTACCCTGCAGTCCTCTGCGTCCAAGGTTGATCTCAGCTGGAGAAATGGTGGGGTAGCTGCTGTGTGTTTAGTTCTTCTGTATAAATTCACTGTGTGTCTCTGTGCTCTGCAGCCTCTGCCACGCCTCCACTTTACTGTCACTGTCCTCAAATACACCAGTAGAATATTGTTTTTGTTTGTTTGGGTCTTTGTTGTGAAGACGTGCACCAGGTACCATTAGCACCATCTTGCTGACATCTATCATCATGTTTCCCGCTTTGTTTCACTGAGATTTGGGGATGGAGCCTGGGAATTTCCTGTCACTAGCTGTGGAAGGGTCTTCATTCCTGCTATGAAGTTAAGGTTGCAGATTTTTTTAAGTTGCTGCTTCAATGTAGAATATTTAGTTGACAGATCAGTTATTTTATAACATCTCTTCAGAGATCTAAGCACAGAACTTTTTCAGAAAGGTTAGCCGAATAATAACATTGTAATGAAAATACCTGGTTACCAAGAGGTAAAAACAACTCCCTTGGCTAAGTCAGAGCCCCTAGTATGTGACCAAGAGTAGCAATAGGGTGGACTAGGTTATGATGCAATAACCAACCACTCAACAGTCCCAGGCTTAGTGATATGAGCGGATTGCTCCACTGCTCATCCACACTGTATGACTCAGACAGGTCAGGTCATGGGTCCTTTCCATGTCATCTTCACTCCAGGACCTGGCCCAGTGAGCAGACCTCTCTGGGATGTTGCTCATCACAGGGAAAGGGACAGAGAGAGAGAGATGGTGAGTGACAAGCTGGCCCTTCATGCGTCTGCCCACCAAAGTAAGACACAGGCCATCCTGAGCTCGGCAGGGCAGTGAAGCATAATTGGGGCTGTGACTATCTTCAACGATAACAGAACTTTAATTTTAGGTGCCCATGGAAACTCCAGTGTGCAGGCCAGGCATCTCTTCAGCCCACAACAGTGCCACAGCTTCCAAAACCTTCACGGTTCTTCAGCAAAGGATGAGAATAGTTGAGGAACAGACCAGCTCCCTGAGGGATGACCTAATAATGCTGGACTGTGGGGACAGAAGGTAACACAGAAAAAGGAACCAGTCACTGTACGGTGAAGAGTTTTGTTCCACTGCTTAGGGATAAGAAGTCACAGTGGTTTGGCAGATGAGTTAGGGATGTAGGAAAGCACTGAAGATCTTGAACATTAGTTAGAAAATATTTGAGATAGACTTGATATCTGTGATAGTGACCGCCGCTAGTCCTCTGTACAGTTATTTAGAATTAATTAGGTATGAAGATGTAAATATTCTGTAGACCTTCAACATGGGATTAAAAAACAAGTGCAATTTGTCATATAATTAAACATTTTTGGTTCTTATTTTAAAATGTTGTCATGCCATTAATTTGGTCTTCACTTTTTCTCCCATGTTTATTTTAAACTAAAAGACAGACTTCAAACCTTTAAGGATTCCACAATTAGAGTGAAGTACTCAGAAGAGAATTGTTTCTTCCCCTGGCATTGCTGAAGAGTTGTTGACTTTAAACGTTGGGCTGGCTGGGGCCTGAGGGATCCGGGTGCTTACATAGTGATACGGAATTTACTGGTACATTTTTAAAAATCAATTTCCTGAATGCCTCATTAAGACATAATATTAACACTGTTCAGTTGTTATTAGAATATAGAATAAATAACTTTAGCATTTAAAGATTAGATTTGGTAAGCCGGGCATGGTGGCACATGCCTGTAATCCCAGCACTTGGGAGGCTGAGGCAGGAGGATCTCTGCATTTTTAAGGCCAGCCTGGGCTACATAGTGAGATGCTGTCTCAGAAAACCAAATAAAAAATTTTAAAAAGAAATAAAAAAGAAATTTGATGCAAATGTTGGGTCTGTTGGTAAAACAATAAGAATGTTTGACTTTGTTTTAAAATTCTCTTGAAAACGTGCATATGTTGCCTCTATACTAACTTTAATTCTTAGTTCACCATTACAGAATTGATATTTAACATGTTGTGACTACGGAAGAAAGTTTACAAAAAGTCCACCCTAATGTAAACACCACTGTGAAGTCAGTGATTTTCGGCCGCCCCCACTGGACCCCGCTCTACCCATTAGTGCTGTGTTAGAACTAGGAGGGGCAGATACACATTTGTTAATGAAGGCTTCAAATTTTTAGTTTTATTTTTAATTGACAAATAATTGTATGGATTTGTGGATATTTTAAATGAAACAGTCTGGCAACCAGCTCAGCTGGTAACTACTGTTTGACTTGGCCCAGACAGAAGAGCCCCAGGGAGGGGTCGGCCTCCCACTGGGGGACTGGACACATCCTGGCCTCGTGTGAAAGTTGGAGTGTTTTTGGTACTTACCCTGGGGCCACACACACAGGCAGAGACAGCCTGAGGCCTGGGGCCACTCTCTCTCTTGGGCTCCAGGACGATCCTCTTGGGTTTCCTGTGGGAAGCTTTCTCTTCTGGGTCTAAAGCAAGGAGGTCCTCCTTTGATGGAGAGGTGGTCACATTTATGAACTCATGGGAAAATGTGACCATTTAAAGGAAGCAGCAGGAAAGCAGGAGCTTAGACTGTTAGACAGAAAAGGTACCTCGGGTTTTCATCTCTAGCCCCAGCTGGAGCCTTTCCCATAGGGCAGAAGATTAGAAACTGCCAGGTGTGGCTGAGCACTGCTCCTGGTATGAGAAAATTAAACTTACATTTAAAATGGTTGCTGGGACAATAGAAAATCATAAGCCTTGACCACACACAATGGGGTATACTGATGTCATGATACACATATACATTGTGGAATGATTAAGTCAAGATAATTAACATATCTACACCCCCACATACTCAATTCTGTGGTAAAACCATTTAAAATCTCTTTTAGCAATTTAAAAATACTGTATACTATATATAATAACTATAGCCACCATATTGCACAATGGACTATTAAAACTTATTCCTCTATTCCAATAAAAAATAATTCAGCCTGAGGGGCTAGGCATGGAACTCAGTAATAGTGTTGCCTAGCATGCCTGAGGTCCTATCTCAGGTGTATCCCAGGACTAGAAGGAAGGAATAGAGGGAGGGAGAAAAGGAGGGAGAGAGAGAGGGAAGGAGGGAGGGTGGAGTGAAGGAAGGACAGAAGGAAAGGAAGGAATTCCTCCTAACTGAAGATTTGTACCCTTTGACTAATATCTCCCCTTCCCTATCAACAGCCCCCATCCAGCCTCTGATACTCAATTCTATTTGAGTTGACTTCTTAAAATCCCACATAAAAGTGAAATCATGTGGTATATTTGTCTTTCTGTTCCTGGCTTATTTTGCTTAGCATAATGTCTTCTGGATTTATCCATGCTGTCACAAATGACAAAATTTCATCTTTTTGTGGCTAAGTAGTACTCTATGTGCGTTGTCTCTGTGCACTTTCTTTATCCATTCATCCATTGGTGAGCACTTGTTTCCATGTCTTACTGCTATGATAACTACTGTGCAATGAACATGGAGTACACACAGCTAATCAGTTTTGAGTTGACTCTTTTATAAGGGTCCAGTCCTTTTGCATATGGATAACCAGTTTTCTTAGCATCATTTAATGAAGAGATTGTCCTTTCATCACTGTGTGTTCTTGCACCTTTGTTGAAAATCAGTTGAATATAAACACATAGGTTTATTTCTGGGGTGTCCATCGTATTCTACCAGGTGATGTATCTTTTTATGCCAGTACCATGCTATTTTGATTACTATAGCTTTATGATATAGTTTGAAATCAGGTAGTGTGATGTTTTTAGCTGTGTTTTTGCTCTAGATTGCTTTGGCTATCAAGGGTCTTTTTCTTTTTTTTTTTTTTTGGTACTGGAGATCAAACTTAGGACCTTGCACCTGCGAGGCAGGTGCCAGAACCACTGAGCTAAATCCTTGGCATGAGGGTCTTTTGTTACTCATATGAATTTTAGGATTTTTTTTTTTAATCTGTGAAATATACTATTGGAATTTGAATAGGGATTGCATTGACTGTGGATTGCTTTGGGTAGGGTGGACATTTTAACAATTTTAGTTCTGCCAGTCATAATCCTAGGATATCTTTCCACTTATTTGTGTCATCCTTAATTTCTTTCATTAATGTTTTGTAGTTTTAGAGTACAGATCTTTTATCTCCTTGGTTAAATTTATTCCTATTTTTTTTCATTCTATAGCATGTGGGACTTGTTTTCCTAGTTTCTTTTTCAAGTAGTTTAATGTTGATTTATAGAAATGTAACTGAGTTTTGTATGTCAATATTTTATTTTTGTATATTAATTTTTATCTTGCCTCTTTACTGAATTTATTAGTTTGGGGAGGGGAGTCTTCAGTGTTTTCTGCATATAATATGTCTTAGAAGCCAGGTGTGGTGGCACACACCTGTAATCCCAGCACTCGGGAGGCTGAGGGAAGAGGATCGCTATGAGTTTGAGGCCAACCTGGGCTACCATAGCGAGACCCTGTCTCAAAAAAAAAAAAAAAAATCTTGTCTTTAGCAAGATAGGACAGTTGCACTTCTTTCTTTCTGACCTGGATGCCTTTCATTTCTTTTCTGTGCTGATGCCCTGGCTAGGACCTTCAGCGTTAGGGTGAACAGTAAGATGTGAATAGGCACATTTGCCTCATTCCTGATCTTAGAGCAAAAGCTTTGAACTTTGCACCATAGACATACCAGCTGTGGGCTTGTGTGAGGAGCATTCCTTCTCTTTATAATTTGTGGGCAGTTTTTATCATGAAAGGATGTTGGATTTTATCAGATGCTTTTTCTGCTGACAATTGAGCTGGCTGCCCTGACCAGGGAGTTAACTGATCTAACAAACATTAGACCTCTGACAGCCTGAAGAGGTCAGAGCAGCTCTCCCCAGATCTCTTTCCAGCTCGTTCCACTGCTGACTAGAAGCTGTCTGTAGCAGCAGTTGACCAACTACACTGGCAAGCTTCTTCTGGGAAGGAACTGGGAGCTTTGAGCATTAGCGTGCTCTGTGCTTTGATCTTGGCTGTTCAGCTCCTGGAAGTGAGTGTGTGCCTGAAATAAAACTGCCAGTTTGTTCTGTGCTCTAGGGAGATGTCTGTTCCTAATCCATTCTTAGAGCTAGACCCCTCGAGGAGAAGTTGGCATTGGAGTTTCTCCCCAGTGGTGTGGTACAGCGTCCCAGGAGGCATTTGTGCCTGCTTATGCCTCACCTTTTCCTACCCACTTGATGGGGATATTTTTTCAGTCAACCACTGTGTCTCACAACTCATTTCTGACTTTCAGAGGGAGCTAGTTTGTGTGTGGATGTTTATTTGGTGTATCTGTGGATCATGGAGAGTGAGCCTTTTCCACCAGGTTGTTGATGCAATTGTCAAATTCTTCTTATTACAAAAGCTACACAGACTCGGTGGCTGGGGTCACCACAGTGAAATTGCATTTCATAACACTGATCTTTGGGGTCTTTTTCCAGAGGTCATTTGGAAGCTCCAAACTATTTAGAAGACCCTGCCAACCAGAAAGTCCTTTGTCCTATCCAGAGTGAGCTAATCTGTCCAGGAAAAACAGATGTTTTATGGCAGAACTGTGAGTTTCTGGTGAATTAAATGTGCCATCTGGAAAGCCTCATCCAGTCCTTGAAGATGAACATCTTCTGCCTGCAAATGGAGAAGGACTTGAATCCACAGAAAACAGGTATAGGGAAAAGAGTCCCCGGAAGTTTGGTCCTGTGTGAGTGCTCAATGAATTATAATTCTTGCCCTTTGCCCTCCTTTCTCCTGCCTACTGCTGCTCCTGTGATGTCTGGTAGCTTTTCTGAAGGATCGACTGAATATAATACAGGAGGAGCATTCCAAAGACCTGAAGTTGTTGCATCTTGAAGTGATGAACTTGTGCCAGCAACTGAGAGATGTAAAAGAGGGGGAGGACAAGGCTCAAGATGAAGTGCAAAGAATGACTGCTACTCTGGAAATCGCCTCGGAGACAAAGGTTTGAGTGTAGAGTTGTAGAGTACAAACTTCTGGGGGCAGTTAGCCCATAAGACCGACTTTCAGAAATAGGTGCAGTGAGGGCTCCTGGCATTGACATTTATCTGCATTGATATTGCAGAGCACTGTGTGCTGTCAGCCATTAATTGTTTAGTGTCCTTTCCCTGGACGGGGGCAGTGCGCCCGGAGGTACAAGGTAGAGTCCGTATTCCCTTACGCTTATATGCTGTTTGGAAGAATGAGGGGAAGAATGATAAATAGGAAAAAGTAAGAGTGTAGAAAATGTTCCAGGAGTAAAGGACAAGAAGTGGGTGTTGAAGAATAAGGGCCTTGTGTTGAGGGCATTGGATGGGGGAAGATGCCCTCTGTGATATGGAAGGGAGGAGGTGGGACTTGGGCTGGACGTTTAGGAAATAAAGTGGAGAGGTAAGGACATCTCAAGGAGCACCACAGGGGCAGCGGAAAGTAAAGAGGTACTGGGAAAAGAGACCGCTTTTCCCCCGTGGACCATGTTATTGAGCATGTTATTTTGCAAGGCCTTCTGAAGTAGGGTGGCATGGTAATTCCAGAGAAAGGACTTGTTTTTCCAGTAGAGTACTGGAGCTCAGAGGTCATTTGTCCAAGATCACCACCTGCCTCCTTCCTGTAACCCAGGTTGGAACCTTCAGTTTTCCCACTGGTGTGGTCAGAGCGAGATTGTGTAAACCAGCCTGACAAGAGTGAGTGAGACAGAGCTGACCCTTGATACAGAAGTGACCAAGTGTGAACGTTGGGGAAACAGACGTGATGGTGTTGGAGCGCTGTCTGTGAGGAGAGGGGTTGGGGTCACAAGGGGGCCAAATGGGGTCTGCCCTAGGACTGTGGGGATGTGAAAGGAAAGGGGTGTTTTATGAAGAAAGCTGGATGGGGACTGAGAATGGGAAAGCAATGCGGTGGGCTTACATCTGGGATTGCAGTGTCATTAATAACAAAGAGGAGAGAATAGGTAATGAGAACCGCGGTCATCCTCAGCTTCTCAGCATAACTAGTGTAAGTGAGGAGAAACAGTTCTTTAAAACATAGGAAAGTACCCTATAAGAAAAATATCTATCATTTACTACCTTGTCCTCTGATTATTGAGTTTTGCATGGGAAGTGGATATGATTAATCAGGATTTATGATCCAAGGGGTGAAATGATAGGAGCCATTAATCAAAGGAATAAAATGACTCTCTTTAAAACCATCTCATTGTAGTATTAATTCAAACAATAATAAGGAATATTTGTAACCAAATGGAAACAGCTTTATCGGTTGCCAAAAGAAAGCCTAGATTTGAACTGATATACCTAGACAATTTCTTCCTGTCATTTTAGCTCAGTTAGAACTTCTTCTTCTATTTTTAGAAGAATGCAGCTATGATTGAAGAGGAGTTAAAGACTACCAAACATAAAATGAACCTTAAAATTCAGGAGGTAAGACAAGAGAATGCTAGACGGTTGAGGGGGCATTGGAACTGAAGAAGGAAAATAAGGAAGGGAATGGAATCAATATGAGAAAATGGAGAAATGGAAACAAAGTCTTCGTAAATAGGGAGGAGTGGAGGGGTTGAAGGGAGGGCAGGGGAAGGGGGAAAAATAAGAACCAAGATGAGTATGTTAAGCTGCAAACCTCCCAGTGATGAATGTCATTGTATTGTACACCTAAAATGGACCAATAAAATTAATAATTAAAAAGGGTAACAGAAGAGAACCAGGAGAGTTCTCTGAAGGACGAAATATATGACTACACAGTAGGAAGACTAAAAGTATGGCATGTGTGATTCAAGTGAAAATACCCACTCTTACATTAAAGACTTCCTTTTTCCCGGATATTGCCGTAAAACCAGAGGTAAGACAAAGGCCCCCAAGCCAGCTGGAAATCACAGTCATGTCCAGTTGCCCTTATCCATGTGGTTGCTCGCCACAGTTAAGCGGGCACCTTCAGTGGAGGCCTTTTAATGTAAAACTGTTTAAAATGAAAAGTGTTTGGTGAGCCTGCTCATCTCCTTTTACCTTAGACCTTCATTTCAGCCTAGGTTTTGGAGTTAGGAGGTGAGTGGCTGCAAGAAGCTGCTGTACTAAAAAGCGGCAGCGGAAAACAGCATCAGAGCAGCTGCTCACTCTGCGTGTCTGACAGCTGCCCAGACACCAGTGTTCCGGGCGGAGTCGTAACTAACATCCGTCCAAACCAAGATGCCAAATTATGTTCAGAAGACTTTTTTTATAAGCCAGAGAAGTACACATGCTTCTTAGATTTTTCATGAAAAACTTTTTAAAATTTTAATTGTAGTGATTAAGGTGGTAAACATTGGTATCTGGAAAATTCTTTTATGTAGAGAAATTTACTTGCTGTTAATTTAATAAAAGCATAATTGTTGATAGAACATTTAAATATTTCAGATATGTTTATGGACTGCCCTTTAGAGAAGTTTTAGGTTTATAGAAAAATTGTGGAGCAAACAGACTTCCCAGGTACCCCTTCTGTTAACGATGCTTTAGAAATAAATACCTCAGTAGTGTAATTATCAAAGTTTCTTCCTGTGAACACTTTGTATGTGTGATTATACATGAAAGAGGCAAATGCTTCTTTTCAAGTTACCATTTTTTTAAAAGCTATATTCTTTAACACTTATAAGAATGATAAAAAAAATTCAAAACAGTGAAATATTTAATGGCTGATTTATAAACTGAACACATTTGACAGTGAGGCCGCTACAGTACAAATTAGGTGGTTTTGTAAGAACTCTGAAACCTCCAGGAACAAATTATATCTTGATCATATTCTACTGCAAACTTAATTCAGAGCTTAGAAAAATGCATTGAGATGCTCCTTACGATGCAGTAATTATAATCTGATACACAAACTTGAGAAAAACATAGCACAAATGAAAACTCTCTTAGATACAATTTTAATACTATACTTGTCATTGGAAGAAAAGGAATTTCTAAGCTTGAAGAAGCAAAATTATATACAGCTCAATAGATTTGACCACATGAAAACTTAAAACTTCTATATGTAAAAAGCAAAACTAGTATTTTAAAAAGTAGGCAAAAGTTAATCATTTTCCCTTTTAAAGAATTTAAAACCTGACTTTTAAAAAGACCTAAAAACAATGGGTAAAGAATAAAAGCATTGACAGTTCATAAAGAAGTGAAGACCTAATTACCGTATTAGGAGATGTTTAATCTCACTAGAAACCAAAGAAATGCGGAAATATTAAGGTGTCATTTTTCATTTATTAGGAATGATTTAAGGGAATGACAATACATAGTGCTGTGAGATTTATTTAAATACTATTGATAGGAAGTTAATGTTGCAAAGAAAATTACAATGTTTCAGCAGTACCTTTAACCTAGTAAATTCTTCTTATAGGAATTTATCCTAAGGAAATAAGCAGAAAATTAATAAAAGATTTATTCATAAGCATGTTCAGCAGAATAGTATTTTAGAAAGGTGAAAAACTGGAAAAACCTCCATGTTCGGTATCAGTGATATTGTTAAGAAAATCAGAGTATTTTCAAAATGAGCCATCTTGTAACATTTCATACCAGTACATCTTTTACCTCTTTCAATTTTTAAAGCCTATTTTAATTATTAAATATATCATCAATAGAGGAAACACATATTAAAAGTATGCCCAATAATTATAAATATGTCCTTATGTCATCTTCCTTGAGTTTTAAAAATATAATTTCTTTCACCTAAACATGACTTTATCAAAGAAATAGCACTCTCATCAATTCCTATTTTAATCTAGAAGGGATTTCTCATAATGAAACTCTTAACCTTTATATTTTTATCTAGTTCATTTTATAGTCATTTATTGATAAAAATGAGGTCATTGTACACCTGGAATAGGAAAAAATATATTTTGCTACTTGACCCACCACTCAGCACTTCTGACTCTGGATGTGTGGGGATTTCTCTCCACACCAAGCGTTCTCGCCCCCAGTAGGGAGCAGCTGGGTCTGCTGTAACTAATGGATCCTGACACCCTCTCTGACGCCCTCTGGCTGGGGGTGAGGTCAGATCCCGTGGTCAAGGGCTCCCTCCCCACCTTCACTTCTGATGCCAGCTGCACCTTGGGCTGTGACCTGTGTGTTAGATCGGGGTCCCATGACCACCCCCTGGGTTCACTTCGCTAGAGTGGTTCACAGAACTCAGGGCAACTTTTTCGTATGTTTTCATCTGAATTACACCATTGAGAATGTGTTGCTTTCCAGCTGCCTTGGATTTGATTTTGGGGGGTGCATATTAGTGATACAAAAAATGAATTTCATTGTGGTTATTGGTACATGGAGATAATTTGCTAGATTAATTTCATCCCTGTTACCTCCCTTTTTCTTTGCTCGCCTTCCCCCAGTCCTTTTCCCCATCTCTCAAAATCTGCCTTCGTATTTTCAGGGAAAGTCTTCCCTTACATTTACCTAATTATTTTAAGGGTACCCACTGAGCACCTTACATCTGAATGTCCAAACTTTGCAGTACTCCAAAATCTTAAATTTATTGAGCATTATGGAGGTGGTCAATATATTTCAGATTTCCGGGAACTGCATAGGAGGATATTTAATTCACAGCCTCTGCACATAATAAAATCCAAAACACTGCAGTCTGAAACACTCTTTGTCCTAAGCATTTCAGTAAGAGTCCATCTGTGTTACAAAAGACAGGCCTGAACACCCAGCAGAGAGACAGGGCAAAGCGCGTTGGAAAAGCATGGAGTCTACTCTCCTAGCACCGTCCTCCTGGCACTGACCCGCATGAGTTCAGGCCTTTGGAAGCTCTCCAGACTCAAACCTCTCGGGGCTTTGTGGAGGTGTCGTTACTTAGGCAGGGTTGTGTCACCGCCACTGGTGATCACCTCAGCCTTTAGAGGTTGGTTGATGGGGCTGAACGTCCCGGGCCTCTCCTCATGCCTTGGTCTTTGTGTTGATCAGCCTCTCTGAAGGTATCTAGGGGCTCCAGTGCCTCATCTCAAGGATTGACACTCTGACCTGGAGATTCCAGGGTTCTGGGGAGCTGCACCAGGAGCCAGCAACAGTGTCACAGAATCACTGTACCCCAAATTCTTAGCGTCCATTCTGCCTTCTGCTTAATCACTACATTATTTGTTTAAAACTTTAAATTCCAAAACAGAATTGAAAGAGCACTTAGAGGTATGTTTATAGTACTGCAGGATTAAAAAGTGATGATGAAATCCAAATATAAAAATAAGAGCCAGAAAATACAGAAGTATGGAAAATACCTACTAAGACATGATAGTAGTGTTTTTCAAACTTTTTAATGACAATCCGTTATGACTTATATTTTACACTGCAACACCATATATATGTGTGTGCACGCGTGCGTATGTGTATGTATGCAAACATTTTATATAGCAATGCTTTCCTTTACTGTTTACTGTGCATTCTTTCTGTTCTACTCTTTTCCTGGGTGCTGCTTGCAGCTTTCTAGTATGTCTTTATCCCAAATTTGGGAAGTGGACTTAAACATTAGGAAGATGAGGACAACAAATTTGATTCTACCCCTTGGTGAGGAACAGTGCATGTTTCTGAGTACCCGTACATGAATGGGGGACATTGGAGGGAGCTAGCATGCCTGGCAAACTTCACGGTGACGTTGATCTTTGTGCGGGGTTTGCTGGTCTCGCCTAACCACAATGTTGCTCTGTAGCTCAGGAGACAGCTGGCTCAGGAGAAGCACTTCAGGGAATCTCTTGAGAAATCAGGACCAGCTATGCTCCTCAAAATACAAGAAATGGGATCCACAGTGGAGGGGGAACGGAAACATTTATGTCAGAGAAGTGAAACCAAAAACGAAAAGATGATACTTTAGCTATAAACTTAGATTTTTGCTAATTCTCTTTAGATTTATTAGGTACTTTTCTCTAGTAACCTATTAACATTCTTATTACAGTTTTTTAAAATGTAGTGAAAAATAAAAAAGGACTGGCTCTACTCTGCTGTTACTTATTCCAGAAATCTTCATTTGTGAATGAGACAGCTAAGGACCAGAGAAGTGTTTGTGTCAGGCTGTTTAGTGACGCACTCTCAGCTCCTGGTACAGCATCTTCCCTACATTGTGCAGTCTCTGCTATAGGCATTGATTTGGAAGGCATTGCCCTTACTTTCTGCTGTATGTGTGTGACCTGGATAGAAAATAAAGACTGAACTGAACTAACACTTGAGGCAAAGAATATTAATAAGCAAAGCAATCAGTATATTTACACAGCAAATTTCAATTATTTAAATTTAAATTAGTTAAAGCTAAAGATTCAGATCCTTGGTGATATGGCTCCAATTCACATGCTCAGTAGCCTCTTAGAGTGGCTCGTGAGTGTCGTGCTCAAGAGAGTCCACAGAACACTGCTACAATCTCCTGCATCGTGTTGAGGTTTTAACTGTATCATATAGACGGTCTCCTCTTTTCCCTTCAGTGATGGGAAGTTTGGAAATTCTATAAGGCCATTTGCCACAAATCATTACCTTACAGAAAAGGAGTTTTTCTTATACAATTTCAGGTGCAAATTTTGCAGCAAAACTGCCTGGCCTTACACAGTTCTATACAGAACACTCAAGAACTACTGGCACAGGAGCAACAAAAAAATGGAGAGTTGGAGACTGCTACCTCACAGCTCAAGACTGACCTGAGTAAGAATGTAGCTGCTGGAAGTCACACTTTTGCTAGTGCTTTGAGAGTACATGCAAAAGCTCTTCGGGCCCCGATTGTAGTAGCCAGCAGGGTTCTTGTATTTCCCACGGTCCCAAATGTAAAACATTGGGATTTCCATTCTAACTATAGCACTGAAACAAAAATGAATGTTGGTATTAAAAAAATTGGCCTCTCACTTGTAAACTATTTTAGCCCCTCTTCCCATGCTTATTGAAGTGTGGATTTGGAAACATTTTATTTCTAGACATCTGGATTGAATATTAGATAAGCAAAAGTCAATAAGGGAATAAACAACTCTTGCTAACTTACTGATCCTGTTATTCATCATGTCAGACTCTCATGCTTGAGATCGTTGGTTTATCTTGACTAACTTGTATCTGTGGAGATGGGGATGTAAGGGACCTTAATGAGAACCTAGGCTCATCCCCATTAACCTATGGAGGAGTCCTCAGAGGTGATGCAGCCATTACAGAGGTGGGATCACAGGATCATATCTGGGTGCTCGAGTCCAGCTGCTCCTATCGTGTTGGCCCTTTATCTTACTCCTGCTTTATCACATCGTTTTATTGTATTTCAAGGTGGTCTCAGCTACAGAGATTGCAGGCAATTAGCACTGCATGATTTACACAGAAGTTTCACATAAATTAATACTCAAAGCTCCATAGCCATCCAGAGTTACAAGAGGAAGAAATGGCAAAGTAAAGCCTAAACCTAGATCTTCTAACTCCAAGCCTAGTGTTTCTTTTCTTTCACCATCTCTACTCTGATTGTGATGGGGCAGGAATACCAAAAAGGAAATGAAAAGTACTGTGTATAAAATATGGAAGAAAGAGCAATTTGTGCAGTGTCTTGATTTAGATTGCTTTTGCACAAAATAGTAGACTCTTTTTCCTTATAGTTGTTGGGAAGTGAATTACCATTGAAATTCTCACTGAGTGTCCCAAGATAACTTTCTGTCATTATCTGATTATGAACCTACAAAGTGGTACATTTTATAATGCTTCCACATGATCTTGTTTGAGTCTAACAACAACCTTGTCAGAAAGATAAGAAAATATACCCACTGTATAGAAGAATGCAAAGATCCAGATGGGCTGTGCCAATGACCCTGACACCCAAAGTTAAAGGAGGAAAGGTTTATTGTAGCTCACAGTTTGTAGAGGTTTCACTTCACAGTTGGCTGGCTCCAAGGCAGGGCTGCATGGCAGAGGGGCATCGCAGAGGGGAAACAGTCCATGGCAGAGCAGACAGGAGGCAGCAAAAGCAGCAGCAGCAAAGCAGAAGCAAATAACAGGCAATGACAGCAGCCTTCTTTCTGTCCCTTTTATTCTATCCAGGCTATACACCCTTAGGGCTGGTAGCACTCACACCCAGGGTGGGCCTTGACTTGTGTGTGGTAGAAGATCCTTAGACAAAATGTTAAAGTGTGACCTTGTGTGCAAATGACTGTGAACTAGTTTCTTTGATAATTCCATAACTTAGTTTACAGTTTATAAAAATATGATAAAAATACTTAGGTTTTCAGTCTATAAGAATACTTAGGTTCATCTTATTTCCCCAAAAAGTATTATCTATCGGGCCAGAGATTTAGCTCAGTGGCACGGCGTCTGCCTCACAAGAGCAAGGTCCTGGGTTTGAGCCTTGGTACCAAAAAGAAAATATATATATTACTGTCTATAAAAATTAAACTTTTGTGATCCCTGGTACCAAAAAAAAAAAAATTAAAGCTTTCCAGGGGAAAATACCATGTTATTTCAGTGTAGTAAGTTGTTGTCACAATTATGTGGACCTTTTGTTTTTAGTTTCTAGGGATGACCTCATTTCCAAGCTGCTTGAAGAAAACAAGGTAAGTTTTCAGGTTCTAGAGTACAGAGGTGGACTTTCCTCTCTTTATTAATAATAGTCTCATTTTCTCATTTACGTTGGTTTAAAATCCTTGGGATTCTCCCAACAGCTTTAGAAAAAAGTTTTGCATAAATAACTTCTATATTCAGGCTAATACCAGGTATTAAAAACTAATCATTTCATGCAGGTTATTATAGTTTGAAAAGGTGAATTAGGAAAAATGAGACATTTGTGTTTTGCCGATTGTAAACTGATTGTTAAAAGAAAAAATTTTAATGAAATTTAAGACACAGAGCTACATAATTAGTGGTGGCTTCACAACTGTGTCACTAAACTGTACCCTTAAAAATAGGATAGTGAGGTGGGTATTTATCTTAGCACAGTTTAAGAAATGGGTGGGGTGTGAGGCACATCCTATAATCTCATCACCTTAGGAGGCTGAGGCAGGAGTTTGAGCCCAGCCTGGGCCACTTTGCAAGTTAGTGAGATCCTGGCTCAAAATTTTAAAAATTGGAAAAGGGAGAGGGAGGCAGCTAGTGTGAAGGCCCTGAGTTCAGTCACCACTACTGCCAAAAAATTTAAATTTAAAAAATATGTCTATAGATCTACTTTTTATCTTGCAGTTAATCTCTTGATATGATGGTCCCATGTGGAGTAATTTTTCTGGTTGCTGTCTCATCCTGTCTTGGTGATGTGTATCTTTCTTGAGAGGCATCTGCTGGGAAAACAGAAAAGTGGTTTTCTCTGTAAGAAGAGAATTTATGCCCTGTCCTTGCCCATCTCCCTATGTAGCTGTTAGGGAGAGCCTGGCCCGCATCCCACCGCCGTCACCACCTCAGAGAACTGGTTTTGTTCCGTTTTTCCACAGACCATAGGTGCCTTCTTCACCTACACTCCAGGTACCTGTCTTCATTACAGCTTTGAAGGATCTGTGAATCTGTTCATTTGAGATCACAAGTTCTTACTGCTGACAGGAAAAAATGTATATGTAGTATAACATCCATGTTTCCTTAGAGAGTAGAACTTTCATGGTAGAAAGATACTGGTAAATATTTAGGTTATGGTTCAGGCAAATTCTCATTAGGATCCTAATATAAGAATGGATTGATGAAGTTTTTAATGGACCATATTTTTAGAGCAGTTTTAGGTTCAGAACAAAATGCAATAGCAAAAGCACGTAGATCTCCTGCATAACCCCTGCCGCTACATGCGTAGTCTTCCTCAGGGTCAGCATCCCCACTGGGTGGACATGGTTATGGCAGTGATGCCTCCACACAGACACGTCATTATTGTTCCAGGTCTGTAGTGTACATTAGGCCTCCCCCTTGGAGCTTCCATTCTGTGGGTTTGGACTACTACAGTATCGTACTGAGTACTTTCACCACCCTCTCCCCTGTGTTCTGCCTGTCCGTCCTCTCCCACCCACCCCTGGCACCACTGGTGTTTTCTCTGTGTCCTTAGGTTTGTCCCTCCCAGAATGGCACGTGGTTGGAATCACATGGTACATGTAGACTCTTTAGACTGGCTTTTCTCAGTTCAGAATCATTAAGGTGACTTTCATGTGTTTTCGTAGCTTGGTGCTGAGTAGTATTCCATTGTTTGGATGTTTGCAGTGTATCTGTTAGCCTATTGAAGGTCACCTTGATTGCTTTTAAGTTTTGACAGTTATAATTAAGCTGGTGTGAGTGTCTATATGAAGATTTTTGTGTGGAGATAAATTTTCAGTTCCTTTGAGTAAATACCAGAGAGCACTATTGCTGGATCATATCCTACTAATATTTTTAGTTTTGGTGAAACTGCCCAACTTATCATCCAAACCAACTCCTCATTTTGCAGTCCCACCAGCGATTCATGAGCGTGACTGTTACTGTACTTCCTCACCTGAGTTTGGTTGTGGTCCCTGTTCAGGGTTTTGGCCATTCTGATAGGTGTCGAAGGGTATCTTGTTTTCTATAAATAATTTAGAAACAAAGAGAAGTTTGGGATTTGAAGATATTAAGATTTTTAAAGTTTTCCTATAAGATGAACATACATCTATGTGTCATTAGAACTTGAATTGGTACCAGCAAGAATATAGACAGGTATTTCACAGAGATATGTATAATACACATGTGAAAAAGAGAATAATTATTTTTTCCCACTGAATATGCAGATGTCTTTCAACAAGGGACATAAAGAAAATGCATATTAGAGGTCTGAAATATTATCCCTTCATCAAGCATTAGAAAAAGCGCAGGTGAATCTTCACTATTTCTCTGGTTTTTAGATATTACTTTTGTTCAGTTAAAGAACCAAAATGAATCCTGATTATATAAACTCATAGCATCCCTATCATCAACTTTTTATTTCCATAAGCTCTAATTCATCCATTATCAAATTAGGTGGATTTCTCATTTCATTTTTCAGGTTCCTATGACACAATGCTGCACAAGATACATTACTAAATCATACACTAGTTTACACCTTGCCTTTGTTTGCTTTGTAATTAGTCATTAAATATATACTTCCCCAGACCCTGATAGTTAACTTCTGTCTTAGTTACTTTTCTCTCATTGCTGAGACTGAACACTCGATACCCAAAGTTATAGGAGGGAAGGTTTATTTAGCTCACAGTCTGTAGAGGCGTCAGTCCGTAATCGGCTGGCTCCAAGGCAGGGTGGCCCATGCAGAGGGGCAACAGTTCATGGCGATGAAAGACAGCAAAAGCAGCAAGAGACCTTAACATTGTCTTTCTGCCCCCTTTCTCTTACCCAGACTACTGGGATTAGAATCAGTGGGCTGGTGTAGTAATCACACACCCTTAATTCCAGCATCATACTCTCTAGATTCAGCCACCTCTGAAAAGGCCCCATATGACCACCTGAGGCTTTGGGGGAGCATTGAGATGCAAACCTTAACAAAGTCTAAGCAGTTCAATGGCAAGGGCTCTCTTACATTCGTTTTGTACCTTCTATAGCAAATAGCACAATGGGAACCTAATAAAAGTCTCCTGGATTTTAGAGATAAGTGTAATCATTTTCTGTGGGATGATGGTACCCAAATTTATCTGATCCTTTATATTAATATGTATGTGTATATCATAGTCAGCAAATAGGTGGCTATACTAAAGTTATATATCACGAAGCCCTGTAAATCGGTATTTATCACTTAAAAATAACTTTTGTTGGTGTAATTTGATTACAACAATGTCAGGGTAATAGTGCTGCTGTGTTTTCTTTATAATAAAGAAAATACAAAATAAATATGTCCTTTTATAAACTAATAACTACTACTCTTCCTATACTGATAGTAGTTAACATTTTTACTATGCCCATTCCACATTCCAGGCAGTTCTAAGTACTTGTATTAATAACTGTGTATTTAATTCTTTATTATTTGTGTATGTTTATGATACATAATAGTTACATTTGTTTTGGTGAATTGGTACATGTGTACATCATATCCTGTTCCTCTCTACCCCTCCAGACCCCTCCCTCATCTCTACAAAGCCTGCCTTTCTGTTTCCTGCCATCTCTCCTTTACCATATTTTTCTCTTTAATCATATTGTGTGTTTTTCATGTAGAGAAACTGTGCAGTATTTCACTTTCTGTGTCTGACTTATTTCACTTAACATTATAGTCTTAAGTTCCATCCATTTCTGTGCAAATGGTATGATTTAATTCTCTATGTCGCTGAATAATAATCCACTGTATTTTTCTTTACCTCTTTCCTGTGGATGGGCATCTAGGCTGACTCTGAGGTTAAGTTTTTGTGGCTTGTGCTGCTGCAAACGTGGGTGTGCCTGTGTCACTATAGTTTGAAATCTTTAACTCTAGAAATATATCTAGAAGTATAGCTGGGTTAAATGTTTTAGGTTCTCAAGGAATCTCCATACAGATAATCTGTAGTGGTTGTACTAGTTTACATTCCCACCAACAATGTAGAAGAGTTACTTTTCTCCCACATCCTCACCAGCATTGGCTTTTTGTGTTCCTGAAAGCCATTCTGACTGGGATAAGATGGAGTCTCAGAGTTGTTTTAATTTGCATTTACCTGATGACCAAAGATGGTGGACACATTTTTTTTTTGGTACCAGGAATCGAACTTGGGTCCTTGCGCTTGTGGGGCAGGCGGCAGAAACATTGAGCTAAATCCCCGGCCCTACATTTTTTTTTCCATTAAGTTTATTGGTACATTTTAGGTATATAATACAATGACGTTCATCATTAGGAATTTGTACCTTTACGTGATGTATCTTGGTTCTTATTTTTTCCCCTTCCCCTGCCCTCCCTTCAACCCCTCCACCTTTCCTATTCACAAAGACTTTGTTTCTGTTTTTCCTTTTCTCACATTTATTCCTTTCCCTTCTTTCCTTTCCCCTGCCCCTCCCACTTCCCTTTCCCCATCCCCTCCATACCTTTTTTCCTATTTCACATTATTATACATTTTGATCCTCATTTACACTTTCAGTTTCTCACCAGAGAAACTATTTGGTATTTACACATGTGTGTCCTATTTATTTCACTTAAGAGTA